GTGTGGGCGGCGGGGTAGCCTAGTGGTTAAAGTGTTCGCTCGTCACGCCGAAAACCCGGGTTCGATTCCCCACATGGGTACAATGTGTGAAGCCCATTTCTGGTGTCTCCCGCCGTGATATTGCTGGAATATTGCTAAAACTAAACTCACTCACTCACCCACTGTCTGAACGCAAGGCAATGCATCTTGTTTCATTAATAATGAAGATATCGTCGGCACCACCATGACTCATTTAGATCCATCAGAGTAAATCGGAATGCCATTTATAGATTCGGAGATTGTGGATATAGTCTCTTTTCTGGGTTTCTGGTTTAACAAGGAAACAACATGGACATTCAGCATTCAACAATATTCCAGTATTATGACGACTGTCTGGGGGTTATCGAGTCTGGACCGACAATCAGGTGACTGGCGCAACGAGAATAGCTCTACATAACTGTCATACGACAAAATGCATCAATTTCAAGTCAACTTCCCGATCCCGTCAGTCGCCTTCCGGTAGACAAGCATGTGTTGCTGAAGACCATTTCAAACCCAGATCTTCACGGGGGTTGGTCGAAGGGGAGGTGGAGCTAAAGCTTCTGAGCAGAATTCCAGTACAAATTAAGCCGCAGACATAAAGTGAATATTGGTGTTATTTGATCTCAGGTAACACACCTCCAATATAAGAACGCACATGTGCAACACTCAAGGCAAGACTTGATGCGGTTCGATCAGAAGCCTAGACACTAACACTTTATGTCTGCATATATATAAGTTTGATACAAGCAAACAAATCCTTTTAAATTGAAAAAGAACCCCGATGACAAGGGAGATTCAGAAAAAATCTAAACTTTCTTCATTTGAGGTTTTAACATTGCAGAAAGAACTTGGCAGGGGAGATTCTTTCCACGGACTGTGATGCAGACTACCAGCAGCCCAATGGCTATATGTCCCTGAGCTTTCGCATCTTTTCAATTGCTTTACAAGTTGTATTTCAGCAGTGGACAGTTTGATTTCAGACACAATTAAAATTATAATCAGCTGGGATAAAGCACCCCAGATCAACTGTGTGAAGGGATTGAGATCCTTGGTAAAGTATGGAGCCTAATGGACGACCTACTCGGACAACTCCTCTTCTTCACCATGTTCGTGACATTGATAAAGATGGTATTACTTAAAAACGCCACTGCTGCTTATATTTGAATTAGTTTGTATTGCTTTACAGGATTAGGTTCATAAATCCGAGTGGGCACCACGTGTTAACGACATGTCAAAGTCTCTATCTGCTTCCACCGGCACGAGCATAACGATCTGTCACAGGATGCTCTGCGCACGCGTTACCTGGAAATATCCGGCGACAAGGCCCAAGGACCGACCGTTAAATTCAATATTCAGCCCGTGCAGTGAACATATCACGTTTTACATCAAATGCGAATTATTCCTTTCAGCAGTTTCTGCTTTAAAAAAAGAAAGAGAAAACAATCTCAGACACGAAGAGAATATTAAATGGTCAAATTGTTACAAGGACGCGTGATATTAAATTATTAGTTTACATGCACCTTGATAATGAACCTCACGAGTGATGGTTTCTATAACCTGCTTACAACGGTTTCATTTGGCATATATAATATGTATAATCTACTTACGTTCAACGGGTTAGCATGTGATCAAATGGCGACATTCCATTGGACAAAGGCATCTCCCTCTGTTATGAATATGTACAGTGAAGTATATGATAATATATTCTGATTTATGTATGATTAAATTGGTAACATTATACCAACAAATAATATTTCAACATGATCTGATCCCTTGCTTCTCGTCGCCATATGTCAGTGCCAGCATCTAACGGATGTTCCCTTCATATTGAATACGTTCAACCGTCAGCATTGTAACCGATACTACTTTCAACGTACTACTATCTTCCCTCGACGGGCGGTAGGGTAGCCTAGTGGTTAAAGCGTTCGCTCGTCACGCTGAAGACCTGGGTTCGATTCCCCCCATTGTTAGTGTCCCCCGCGTTATATTGCTGGAATATTGCTAAAAGCGGCGTAAAACCATACTCACTCGCTCACTCACTTCCCTCGCTTGTCATATATACTTCACACAATATGTTGAAGAACACCCACAAATGGAAGGCTGTGTTTTGCAATTCCCACCAGCAGGTTTAAAATGCGCGTTTGCCCGTAGGTTTGTGGCAGCTAGACCTCATGTCGGGGCAGTAGATACAGAATCTATGTGGTCATTATGGCCTGCTCTATCTTTACGTGTCGAGTTCTTATTCACAGAAAACTGCATTGATTATTATTAGGTGTGTGCTGCTTCTAAAGTCTGTGGATTGTAAAAACAATCTGGCATATTCTTTTTTAATTTCAAACTGGCCACCGGCTATGGCAGTTTAAGCATTAGCCGTATAAAAAAAACGGATACACTTTCACTTTGAGGTGGACATGTAATGCTTTCAATAATTATTCTAGATATCCAAAGTGTAATTCGTAACTCCAGGTACCTTTTTCGTAAATCTGCATATACATAAAAGAGTAAACTATATTTATAACGAAATCGTTTTTGTTGTTGTCTTATTTTCTCTTCTTTTTTTGGGGGGGGTGGGGTGGGGGGGTGTGTGTGTTTTGTGTTTGTTTTTTGTCTTTTCTGTAGTGCATTTGTACAACGGGAGTTTGCCAATCAACAAGAAACATACCTGGCAGAATTACCTGAATAATAATACTGAATAATAATGTGCAAAATTTCCGAGAGTGCAGGTGCACTGATTCGGTACACATGTTTGAGAGTTTAATTTAGCGTCTCTATCGCCCCGTCTGTCTATCCGCCCACCCTTCCACCCACTCAACAACTCAAGTACTACCCCAACCACCCACTGATTCACTCACTCGATTCAACCCAACCATTCTTTCATCTAACGCAGCATATTCATAATATTCACCAGCCGTCGATGTTTATATGAGTGAGTGAGTGATTTTTGTTTTACGCCGCTTTTAGCAATATTCCAGCCATGTTGGTTGGTTGTTGTTTAACGCCGCACTCAGCAATATTCCGGCTATATGTAAATAATCGAGTCTGGACCAAACAATCAAGTGATCAATAGCATGAGCATCGATCTACGTAATGGGGATACGATGACATGTGTCAACCAAGTCAGCGAGCCTGACCACCCGATCCCGTTAGCTGCCTCTTACGACAATTGCAAGCATGGGTTACTGAAGATCAGTTCTAACCCGGATCTTCACGGGTCCCACAGCGGGGGACACCAGAAATAGTCTCCACACCCGGATCCGAACCCGGATCTTCGACGTGATGAGCGAACTCTATAACAACAAGGCTACCCCACTGTCCCCCATGTTTATATACTATCACCTATTATAATAATAATATTGTACTCAGTATGTAATCATATATGTGTATAAAACTGTTGTATATTTAACTTAATCATAACTCAAGGGGCTTTTATATATGTATTCTAAAATTCGGTTTAATTTTTATTTGATTAATTAGATTTAAAAACTTAAATTTTATTATTCTATAACTTGTATAATTGGGCGAGGCAATAATGTACAATCTGTCTGTGAATCAGGGCGTAAAACAACAAACAACAACAGCTATGTAGGAACAGCTATGTAGGAACAGTTATGTAGGGAGTGGTGACTGGACTCCCGTCTTCTGGCATTATTCACTGCAGGGTGAATTGTAACAGCACTGTCGTGGAGTTGCATTAAGGTCTCTGAACGCAAGGGGCTTTCAATGTACATTGTTGCTCATATCGCATTGTGTGAGTTGTTTTTGTCATGCACCTTTTAGGCTTTCACACCACCCACATGTCGTTCGTCTTAGCCCGTATGGCGACGCTTATATTGCCGCTGTGACAGAGCTGACCCTTGAATCATAAACTTTATACCCATGCCCCTCCTGAATTCTTCTACCTTGGGCGCGGGCATGGCTTCTTTCGAGTTGGACTAGGGACGCACAGCGTATTGTTTTACGGCCCCTTCACCTTCCATATCAAGAATCAACACAGTTTATGGTGTGCCGTTTGGATATTAAGTTACCTTGATTAGGATTTTGTCACTGGTGGGGAAGTTTAGCTGTCGGCTGAGATCTTTCACTTATTAAATGATAACAGACTTCACTGCGGACCTGTGGTCGCTTGAAATTGTCTTTAACGTTCAAGTGAGTCGCCTGAGTTCGTGAGTGAGCAGAGATCGAAGCCGCTGGACGTGTCCGCCACATGTGGGAGAAATGTTCAATATGTCTTTTTAGAAGACGTTTACCACTTGGGTGAGACTTAGTGCAAAATTTCTAATACAAACAAATAACTACATGTTAGATGAACAGGAGCTCTGAGATCATGTTCAGGACCGGAAATCTAGACTTGCTCATCTATAATTTTGCTGGCAGAAAGAGCTGGGTGGAAGGGAAATAACGTGGTTTTGGGACTATGAGACAGGCTAAAAGCAAGAATGTGGTGATGTCAAACCTAAGGATTGTAAATGGGATGAATCTGATATTTAAATCAACAACCAGCATATCCTCGCACGGCAAAGGGACGCAATTCCGCAAGCAAATAATCTGTCAGGAATGGGTTGTTTTCTTTAATAATCGCTGCGGTAGTAAACGTTATACATATCTACTTTGGTGAAACCCACAAGCAACGGCTGGTCATGACAACAACAAAAATGGCGGCGAATTATCGAGTCTACTAACAGCGTATCCTGCACGATAAAGGGACGCAACTTCTCAGAGGGAATGTCTTCGCTATTGTTGATTTAACATTGTCCAGCATTTACGCGCCACTGCCGTCGTACACTTGTGCTTAAGCCTAAGTAATGAGCCAGGTTTCATTGAAGCAGACAATAACAATATAAAATTGAGCGTTTCTTGGCTTGTAACATCTGTATTATCAACACCCCACGTCTGGTGACATATCGACCACGTTAAACAGAAACGCGAGTTTTACTCGAACTATGCACCGCGCACTACGTTACGCTCCATTTCCCGGAGCATTGAGAGCGAGGCGTCCTTCTATTCCGCGACCAACGCACATGTGTTTATACAAACCTATCACCAAAATCCTGGATTCTGATTGTCTTGTTGACATTTGTGTATAATTTGCTGTTGGATTTTACCGTTAACAGAGAGTGGCATACAAGGTAAGAACGCAATACACTGACTGGTGCACATCTCACTCAATGCCTGCTTCGTATTCCACAGGTGTTGCGAATATCTACCTGTACTCGGGCAGTCATATCACAGACACACACAGTAGGCTGGCCTTGTGGACAACCCAGGTAACTGGCCTGACTATGTGAGCGTGTGTCTCCTTACACCCGTCGCTCCATGCTAAAATATTGCCGATATGGGAATCATCATAATAATTCACCTGGTAAGCCGTCAAGGCGACTTAACGAATCTTAGGATGAACCACTGGTCGATATGCCCTCACATGCTTTAAATATGAATTGCTATAACGGCTTAAAGAGGACGTTGAAAACTACAGTAATTTGCAACACCTTCCGCGTTGGCAAAATATCGGCCTCAGTCATTGCTGATCTTATTCAGGTATTCACAATCCATGTGACCTACATTAGTTTCATCTGGTGTACATATGACTGGCGTATGATGTTTTATTAATCGTGTATCCGCATATGCGTGTGGTGATATACATTCACAGTCACAGTCACAGTCACAGTCACTGTCTGACTCACAGTGTCACGTGTACAGTCCCCGAAACATTTATTTCCCTAACGCTGGCCCTCGATGTTAATATGAAATACGTGAGGTTGTATAGTTTCTGAATATCTCATCTCACTGAGATTCCTCTTCATTTGAAATTTTGTTTCATTTTATCAAAATTATACACTTTCAGAGTACCAGTCTAATGCAAATAGTAAATATCTACCAGTCGTCCAGGTGAATTGTTATCTCAACATGTAGTATATTACTTTTCGCTTGTACCACCGCTGGGATCTTTTAAAATATAGTTAAGTTACATTGACTTAACGTTCGTCTATGACAGCCCACGCAAACGTGTGTTTACCCTAGAACACGTCTTGCAGGTTTGTGTCGACAGACATACATACTTGGTTTACCCCTGACCTTGCACCGTGTTCATATGCGTATATTAACTCAGACTGGGTACGACGTGCACCTTCTGTTGAACTGACGCTTGAATTGCGTCGTCGCATCCAGTACGTCTGCCCATACAACTGCGATATGAAATGTAGGGAGGACATTGCATATATGTTTCTGATGTTTCTGTTGATCTTTAAACTGTTCCAAGTTTTTCCTTCTTCCCGTCTTCTATCTCGTGACTTTAATATGCAATTGCTAAACTGGTGACACAGTTAACGCACGGTGTAGGAAAGACATTGCATATATTTGTCTTCTGCTTCATTCATTCCTTAAATTGTTCCAAGTTTATCCTTCTTCCTGTCTCCGATCTCGTGACTTTAATAGGGAGGTGTTAAACTGGTGACACAGTTAACGCACGGTTGCTCCGCCTCTGAGTTCGCGACACACGCACCTTAATATCATTGAGGCAAGTGTCACTCAGATTTGACGTGAATGAACTAGTATGATGAGACAGTTTATGGCCCTTGGGTTATAATTATTTCAGAAATGATGGAAGGATCTTTGCAGTTGTTATGCTAATTATCAGATGCTTTCAATGGAGTGAAAATTCGACATCGTTTCTTTTCATTATATGGACCACAAGTGTAGAGATACGGTTAATTGTGTCAAAAGGGTTAATGCTGAGGAAAGTGAAACTCTTTTTTCTTGTATTTAAACGTAAGACCCTTTGATTTTGTAATGCTGTGTGGATACGGGCAGTTTATGTTGTTGATAAATGAAAAGTCAATTAATTGCTCACGATCATCTCTCCAGGAGTTCGTAAAACCGCCACCTGGGCTCCGTTCCTCAAAGCGATCGTAGCGCTACGACAGTCGTAAGTCTATGTTAAAGCATGGGAGTTACGATCACCTTAGCGCTACGATCGTTTTGTGGAACGGGGCCCTGATTCAGCCACACTTCTTTTTTGAAAGTATGCCATAAGTAAACATTGTCACAGTCATCAAAACATCTGGTAGACAGTCACTCGATGACATTTCTTTAAATATTCATTACTCTAAGAATATGACATGCAAATATGGCCTCTTGTACGACGTCCCTTTGAAGATACAACAGGGACCAGATAATAGATATGGTCCCCATATAATAGATATGGTCTGTGGTTACAGAGAGGTTTAAACAATTTTGACTGTACTGTCAGTGGCATGCCAGCGAGAAGGCTAACATATCGGTATGTATGTGCAGCGAAGCGTGTCATTGGTTTGAAGAGGGATTTGTCAGAGCCGCTATTGTATGTCGTGTGTCAACAATCGGCTATTATATCACAGTCCGGTCAGTGCCCTCTCGGACCTGGTGTCGTAACCCGGTCGGTTATCAAGGAGATTACTTGGGCGCGTGTGGTATGTGGCATGTTCTCCGTGCACAGAGGAAACGGGCTACAGGGCACGTATGTGAACCGAAAGAAAAACAGAGAAGTTGTGTAGCCATTCTTGCGATAATAGCTGAAACGTTTTATCGTCATTTAGCACGTGGTATGCAAATGTGACCGCGCAACCTTTGACATGTAGGGGCTGAATGAAGGACACAGTGTATGGTGATTTGTGGGTGTGTCATTGACTGGTTCTAAACGCCTATCAGCCTATCGTGGGTTTTCAGCATCTTCTAACTTTTCAGACGTCATTCTCATTCAGTCTCTCAGACGACATCGTCATTTCAGAGTCTCTACCGTCAACGCCATTCAAAGTCTCTCTGAGGGCGTCATTCAGAGTCTCCCTGACGTCAGCGTCATTTCAGAGTCTATCTGACGTCAGCGTCATTCAGAGTCTCCCTGACGTCAGCGTCATTTCAGAGTCTATCTGACGTCAACGACATTCGGGGTCTCACAAACCTCAGCGTTATTCAGAGTCTCTCTGACGTCAGCGTCATTTGAGAGTCTCTCTGACATTAGCGTCATCTCACTCACCCAGACGTCCCCTCCTTGACTGATCACAAACCGTCGACCAGTTAGATGTGAGATTAACATGGGTGGCTGAGGTCTAGCTGCTATGTTTAGACAGCCAACGTTACACGTATCAGTAGATTGGCTTCGGGCGGCCGTCACGAAGGTATTGTATGCAGTAATCACCTTGCTTCTTTTACTACTGTACGACAAATATAGAAGGACATTGTCAGCAGTTGTAGTTACAACAAGATCACGTTATGTGTCCTCGTAGTCCAGTAAATAAGACAATCCAAGTAACCTGTCGTCAGTACTTAAGGCAAGGTATTCTCAATCAGTAATTAGGCATACCTGTCCATCAGTAGTTAAGATACGTTACCCGGGTAACCTGTCCATCAGTATCTTACTGGGATGATTGTACTAGTGCCAGTTGTCTGAATCTCACCGTCTCTGATAAAGCCGCAGGCGATCGATAATCCTCATTCCGTGTAGAACTGCAGGTAGGTTAGGTCAAAGTGGGGTCAACCAGATCGTATCACTCACCTTGTATCAGTGTCTCAATAGACACGCGTAAGTATACGTGGTTTATGTCATGTCCAGATCAACATCAGTAGCGTATACACTTACATGTTCAACATGGCAGTCAACGGCTTGTGGTTCTCCTTTAGTGTGTCATTAGTTATTGATACTGGACAGATCGAACGTTTTGTGTGTGGACGGGTTTTCAGTGTTGTGTACAACATGGATTTTATTAGAGTGGGAGACACACGCACACGACCATACAGGTAGCCATATAGACACAGTAATGAATCAGAGAAACCTCAGACAGACTAATGAATCAGGACATCCACACAGGTAAATATATAGACAGACTAATGTATCTGGATATCCACACGCGGGTAAATAAATAGACAGAATAATGAATCAGGACATCCACACAGGTAAATATATAGACTGACTAATGAATCAGGACATCCACACAGGTAAATATATAGACAGAGTAATGAATCAGGACATCCACACAGGTAAATATATAGACAGAATAATGAATCAGGACATCCACACAGGTAAATATATAGACACAGTAATGAATCAGGACATCCACACAGGTAAATATATAGACACGGGTAAATATATTAGACAGAATAATGAATCAGGACATCCACACAGGTAAATATATAGACAGAATAATGAATCAGGACATCCACACAGGTAAATATATAGACAGAATAATGAATCAGGACATCCACACACAGGTAAATATATAGACAGAATAATGAATCAGGACATCCACACAGGTAAATATATAGACAGACAGTAATGAATCAGGACATCCACACAGGTAAATATATAGACAGAATAATGAATCAGGACATCCACACAGGTAAATATATAGACTGACTAATGCATCAGGACATCCACACAGGTAAATATATAGACACAATAATGAATCAGGACATCCACACAGGTAAATATATAGACAACTAATCAATCAGGACATCCACACAGGTAAATATATAGACAGAATAATGAATCAGGACATCCACACAGGTAAATATATAGACAGACTAATCAATCAGGACATCCACACAGGTAAATATATAGACAGGATAATGAATCAGGACATCCACACAGGTAAATATATAGACACAGAAATGATTCAGGGCATCCACACAGGTAAATATATAGACACAGACATGATTCAGGGCATCCACACAGGTAAATATATAGACAGGATAATGAATCAGGACATCCACACAGGTAAATATATAGACACAGTAATGAATCAGGACATCCACACAGGTAAATATATAGACACGGGTAAATATAGACTATTTTTAGACAGAATAATGAATCAGGACATCCACACAGGTAAATATATAGACACGGGTAAATATATACTATTTTTAGACAGAATAATGAATCAGAACACCCACACACAGGTAAATATATAGACAGAATAATGAATCAGGACATCCACACAGGTAAATATATAGACACAGTAATGAATCAGGGCATCCACACAGGTAAATATATAGACAGAATAATGACTCAGAACATCCACACACAGGTAAATATATAGACAGAATAATGAATCAGGACATCCACCCAGGTAAATATATAGACACAGTAATGAATCAG